GCAACCGGGGGCTCAATTCTCGGCCCAGGCCCGAAATGGGGAGCCTATAAATACCCCCAAGGCTTGGCCTCACATTGCTTATGCAAAGTTGTTGTAGCGAAGCTCTACCGAAAATTTTCTAGAGAGAGAAAGTTCATTTCGATCAAACCCCAGCCCCTGAGGTCAGTTCCTCTCCATTGTTCACTTTTTTAGCAAGTTTTGCTTTGTGGCCTTAGATCTAGTGTTAGCGATCCTTAGGAAAAATTTCTTCCCTTCTCGATTCCTTTCTCCACAAACTTCTGAAGGATGTCATCCGCTACTGACTCCCAAGATATTTCCGGAGAGCGCTCAGTCCAGGCCGAGACCTGGTCGGAAGAAAGGTCAGCGAGTGGGGAGCCCTCGTCTAACAATGATTCAGCTGTTGCGGTGGAGATCCAAAAAAATATGGTGGCCTCGCGATGCAGACTGCTGAAGAGGAGGAGGAAAAGGAGCGGCAGAAGGTCACCATCGTCGTCCTTCCCCCCACGCAACGATGGTGAGGCCAACAGCTCCCGGCCACTCAACCCGGAGCCTCTCAGGGTGGCCCCGGAGAAGAAGAACAAGAAGACGGTGGGGGCCCCCAAGAAGAAGGGGAGTGTTGCAGACCTTGGGAAACCCATCAGGATTCATGAGGGGTACTCATTTTCCATTCTCCAATTTTCTGTTTTCATTTTTTAGTTTTCCATTTTCAAATCTGAAAAACATGTTCATCAAATTTTTTCAACTGGTTCCAGAAGACTGAAAGTACGGTCCCATTCTGAAATCAAACGTAGTACAACCCAAGTAGGGTACCAAGTCCCACGTACAGGAAAGTCGGGACCGAAACCGGCCGGGCCCGGTCGATCTCAATGGTTAGTTTGACGACTTCTTTTCACATTTCCCTATTCATTGACAACTCAACAACTCTTTTAAAACTCTTCACTATAAAAAGTGATTTCAAATAACTGAGACTAAACCGCCGAGTCATTGATCGGCCCATGCAGGGATCACCGGATCGTTGACGGGGTTGGCCCGGGACCGCTTAGTCGTGGATCGGACCGGACAAGGACCGTCGGGTCATCGATCAGACATGATAGTGACAGTTGGGTCATCAATCAAACAAGATAGGGACCGTCGGGTTGTGGACCAGACCAAACAGGGGACACGGGGTCGTGGACCGGACTGGCCAGGGGACCGCCGAATCATGGACCAGACCAGACCAAGATTGTGCGGTCGTCGATCGGACCAGATATGGATCACCAAGTCAATGACCGGATGAGACCGTCGGGTCAGTAACCGGACCAGGTACGGACCACCGGGTCGTTGACCGAACCAGATGAGGACCGGCGAGTCATTGACCATACTGAACACGTATTGCTTTATCGTGGATCATCGGGTCATCGATCAAACCAGATAGGACCGCCAGGTCATCGATCAGACCAGAGAGGGACCACCGAGTCGTGGATCAGACCGGACAATTGGGTCATGGACCGGACTAAACAGGGATCACTGGGTCGTGGACCGGATCAGACAGAGACCACCGGGTCGTCGACCAGACTGGACCGGGACCGTCGAGTCGTCTTCCAAACCGGGACCGTCCGGTCGTTGATCGGTCTGGACCGGGATTGCTCGGACGTCGACCGGACCAGACATGGACCATCGGGTTAATGACCGAATCAGACAACTGGGTCGTTGACCGGACGAGATAGGGACCGTAGGGTCGTTGACCGGACTGGAACTGACACCGGAGCGGGATCAGATGCACCAATAGGTGTAAGTATGCAAATTCACCGACAACGGCACTACAACATCCACGTTTTCCAAATTTTGAAAACTAGTAAAAGTCACTTCTCCAATTCATTAAGGAAAAAAGAGACATATCTCAATTTTTTCATTTTTGAAAATGATTCGGTAAACACGCTTTTCTATTTTCATTTCTCCCGTTTTCAAGTAATTTTCTTTGGAATTATTCAAATCATAATTTTCGCATTGAGAGAAACCCTGGTGGCCATCTCCCCTCTTTGTAGGGGTTGAGATTTTCCACCGCCCCTATCAATATGGGGTCGGAGCGGTAAATTATAAAGATTTTAAGTGTTCTAACGCTTGGGGTTGCAACTACGTCGAAATGGCGGAGGAATGAAGTGCGGTTGAGAGGTTGTATCGGGAATGGGTCGTGAAGCCTTTGTCAGGCATTCCGGCGGTGGTGGAGTTGGTATTCGCCCATTTTGCAAGAGTCCGTCCTCCTCCATAACCACCTCCATACCAGGTAATGCTTTGTGGAAATATTTTATTTCAGTATTTTTTTCTATTTACTTGCATATGTTTTCGTTTCAGCCCGAGTAGATCTGGTTTGAATGTTTTAATTTTGGAGTTCTTTTGATAGACAGAGTTTCGGTTCCATTCGTTTTAGGCCTAAATTTGCCCGTTTCAGGTTTAGCGAGCCATGTTGCTTTGTGTGAGGTGACTGACTCTAAGTCTACTCCTAGGGTTCACGATTGGATCTGTAATTTCTGTCTGAAGATTGTCTTGTATGTGTTCTTGATTTTAATATAACGGCCGCTCTTTTATGATTCAAAAAAAGTAATTTTCTTTGGTAAACACGTTCTTTATTTTCCTTTTTTCAATTTTTCAATTTTTCAATTTTCTAAAAACTGGAAAATACTTGTGTTAGTAAACAGACCCTTAATGTCCCGACCTCTATGATTTCTTATGCCGAGCAGTTTGTAAGGTATTTTCTTTTTGTTCTTTAATTTGTTTTAGTTCTTTGCTCTTCCGTATTTCTTTAATAATTTTTGGGTACCCGTACCCCTCCCATGTCAGTAAAACCTCCACCTTCAACTACAATTGAAAAAATGTAATATATTGACTTCAGAATTTTATACGAAGATATGAATGGTATCCAAGAACTCTTAATACTTATTTTCAGTATTTTCTCAATTTCTTACAAAAAATATAAAATATAATAAAGTATATGGAGCATTTGTATCCCTTGGATACGGTATACTTTTTTTCAATCTATATATTGATTAATCTATTCAACTTTAATGATATAGGTCACTCATTTTTAATAGTCATGTTCTAGGAATAGCTGAATTATAAAGACATTAATTTAGTTTAATTAAGATTATAAAGGTTTTCAGTTGTGATAGAAATATGGTCGAAGAATATACTTTCATGGATTCAAGCTCTTATGTCAGATGGGGGCTTTGAGTAGATGATAGCAAACTAAGGCCTCTTGTTTAGTTTTGTAGAGGGCCTCTAATTTGTCAGGACTGGCCTCAATATGGCTAACGTTGAAGTCCATAATTTTGACACTTAGCTTGATGGGCTGAACTGTAATACGGAGTATATATTTAAATTATTTGTCTACAGCCTTTTGAATTTCTTATAGTCTCACTCTTTTGTCCTAGATGGTGGATAAGTCATTATATCTTTGAAAAATGAACAACTAATACACATAGTCACATGTAAGAGAAGTGTTTATATTTATTATTATTAAATAGTAAATTGTATATATTTTGAATCATATAAATACTACCAAATACTATCGTATTATATTAGGTGCTGCTTTTTGGATTAGTCTCTTGGTTAAAGTACTATTTATTTCCAAAGGTGGTAAGACAAATAGAGCATAATTTATTCATATTAGATTAATTTAATTCAAGAGATCATTTTAGAGTAAATAAGGTGAAAATATAAACTTGGTTCTTTTCACCCAAACATGTGTCCAACCCATGTGATGCGGGAGTGAAACGTGGGCCTTTAGTGTAGAAAAAATATTAAAATAAATGATTAAGGTAAATTAAAAATTAAGCCTAAATGAGTTTAGGTTCATCTCAAAGCAAAAAGTACCTTAAAGCACTACTAAATACTAATTCCGGCACACTCAATTTTGCCAAATTGATATTGGGTGTGATATTAGGATTATAAAAACTGTGATTGAGGTTTGTGTAGAGGAGACAGAAATGAACAAAACCGAAATTCATTGCTTTAAAAGGAAAGTTACAAAGTTTTTTGGGACGTACAAAAAAAAGTTGGCAAAGTCCAATTAGGGATGATTATATTCCGATCAAAATCAGAAAATCAATAATATCGAAACATATAGATTAGTAAGGATTGAATCCAGACCAGTTACATATATGTCCGGTCTTAGGTTCAAGACTTTTGTATTGTCTTCCTGTCCCATTCTTGCCTGAAATATTTTCTTCCGGTTCAATAATATTGAGAATTTTGATTTTGATTTCGATTTCGATTCTATCTATTTCAATTTGATTTATTTTGATCTTGAATTGTTGCATTCACATATATGATATACCTCATTGATATTGGCCATATTGTTCTATATCACGCATTTAGCAAATGGGGACAAACAAAAAAAGATACGTGCATAGAGGGACATTTAAGCATAATTGTCAATGCAATATGGTTACGTTTGAAAATTTGTCCAAGTGGAGTGCACAAACTAATAATATTAATCTGAGTATATAATGTAATATCCTTAATTTTATCGACTAAAGAAATTCTTTTCTCAATATTTAAGGAGTATCATGTTGCGCCAAGATAACCTAAATCTTTTTTACATTTCCTCATTTTATTAGCTCATTTAATACTACTTTCCCTCCTCGTGAGTTCGCTGGTAAAGCACTTAAAATATTCATCGCTCTTAAATCTATAGTTATCTAGCAATTGCTGGGGCATAGGAGGAAGACAAAGTACGCGATCGGAAAATGTCAATTGCCTCAGCCGATGATCATGTATTTGATTGGGTCGACATTAGGTGTTATTTTACTAGTCTTCCCATCCCAAATTAATGGTTGTATATCTTTTAGGCTTTAGTCACAAAAATTAAAGATGGAATAAACTTATCAAAGAACCTTTTTATATAGAGTTATGTAAAGTTAAAAAGAACGTTTTTATATAAAAATGCTATGTCAAAAGGAATAATGATATTATCAATTTAGGACATTCTATGAGGGACACATGGGACTAGCAATTGGGGATGGAGGGAGTATCTCTTATTATCCTTCGATAGTTGTGGCGGTTCTTATCATAATAATAACAATAGTGACGATGAGATTCCTGCGGAATCTCAAAGGACGGTTCCTGCCACTTCCTCCCGGCCCAAAAGGTTGGCCTCTACTAGGAAGCCTCCCAGAAATGGTGATAGCGCAAAAAAGGATGATTCCATCACGATGGATACTAAAACTCATGGATGAAATGAAGACAGAAATCGCTTGCATCCGGCTCGGGTCCACTTACATCATCCCTGTCTCGTCTCCTGAGCTGGCAAATGAGTTCTTAAAGAAACAAGACAAAGTTTTCTCACTAAGGCCAACTTTCACATCTTTAAACATCACCTCTAATGGATTTAAGACCGTCTTTTCTATGCCCCCCAACGACAAGTGGAAAAAAATGAGGCGAATTCTCGCGTCTCACGTCTTATCTCCAACCGTTCTTGATTGGCTTCAAGGTAAAAGAATGGATGAAGCTGATCATCTTGTGCGCTCCATATACAATAACTCCTCATCAATTGTGGATGTGAGATCTATCGCGCGACACTATTGTGGAAATGTTATAAGGAGAATGACACTTGGAAAAAGATATTTTGACAATAGTAACAATAGGAATGGAAGGCCACCTGGGCCGCAAGAGGAAGAGAATGTTGAGGCATTATTCACACTCCTCAGTTATACCTTCGGGTTTGGCATTGCTGACTACATGCCATGGCTTGGTGTATTTGATATTGACGGCCACATCAGCATGCTAAACAAAGCCTTCAAGAGTGCTAGAAAGTATATCGATCCGGTAATCGATGAGAGAATCTCAATGTGGAAAAATGGAAATATGACGGTCAAAGATGACTTGGTTGATGTTCTAATTACACTCCATAATGAGGTTGATGGATCACCATTGCTCACTCATGACGAGATTAAAGACCTCATCTTTGTAAGTACATAAATTAATTGATGAAATAAATATATATAGTTAACACTCCAATATGTTGCACTTAGTTGTTGAATCTGACCTTAGCTTGTATATATTATTCATATATGTATTCTATCCCTATACAATGAGGTCAATTCAGGTGAAGATAGTTTTTGTGAATGGTGATAAAATGCAAGTTTGGTTTTATTTGCAAAATTGGTTAGATCAATTTTTTGTTTTCCAGCCTTTGATTAGATTCTGAATTCTAATGCATAATACATTAAGTAAGTATGTTTTTGTCTAATTGGATACCATGGATGCAGGAAATGATGATAGCAACAGTTGACAACCCATCAAACGCATTTGAGTGGGCATTGGCTGAAATGCTAAATCAACCTCACATATTAGAAAAAGCTACACAGGAGTTAGACAGTGTGGTTGGGAGAGAGAGGTTTGTCCATGAAACTGACCTGTCTCGGTTAAACTACATAAAGGCATGTATACGCGAGACATTTCGTCTCCACCCCATTGCCCCCTTTAATGTCCCACACGTTTCTTCCGAAAATGCAATAGTCGGTGGTTATTTCATTCCCAAAGGCAGTATTATCTTAGCCAGTCGTTATGGGCTCGGTCGGAATCCTAGGGTATGGGAGGATGAGCTCAAGTTCATTCCAGAAAGGCACCTCAATGGATGGCCAACTAATGAAGTGGTTTTGACAGATCTTGAATCTAAGGTGCTTTCATTCAGTACAGGAAGACGAGGGTGCGTTGGAGTTAGACTAGGCTCTCTAATAACAACAATGTTGTTTGCTAGGCTTCTCCAAGCCTTCACATGGACCACTCCACCTATTTCACCAACAATACCCTTAGTTGAGTCTAAGCGTGACTTTTCTATTCAAAATCCACTCCGCGCTATCGCGAGGCCTCGCTTGCCAAATTCTTTGTACCGGGCTGCTTGATGACAACTCAAGTAAACATTTGTTACAATTTGTGATTTTAGCCTGCGAGATTATCAAAATATCAATGCCATAATCTTTTTACTATAGTTTAGTCATATTAGGGATGGATTCGGGCCGGGTCGGGCCCGGTCGGGCCGCCGGTTCGTATCACATGGGCCCGGGACCGGCCCAAGGGTTGGACGGGACCGGCCCAAGGGTTGGACGGGTCCGGTTCGGGCCGGGCCACCCGCCCGGGTCACGGGTCGGGCCACCCGCCGGGCCGGGCCGGGCCGGTTATTTTTTTTTTTAATTTATATTTTATACTTTATAGTTTTATACAAGTATTAAAAAACAAACTTCAAGTGCATTTATTTGAAATGAAATAGGAACTACATTTGAAAATTAAATAGGAACTATAATTGTTTTTAATCGGAATCTCCGGCATAGGTAGAGCCACCCTCGGTTGTAGATTCATCCATAAAGTGTTGGGATGGGGTGATGTCAATTTCTTGACCTCTACGGGCTGCTTTCAACCAATCGTGGTAGCATATAAGCATCTCAAGAGATTCAGCGCTCAACCTCGTTCTGGTTTGTGTTAGGACATTGTCGGCCGAACTAAATTCTTGTTCCACGGCAACCGTTGAAACCGACATTGATAGCACTTGCTTAGCCATCTTTGCTAAAACCGGGAACATTATTTCTTTTCCCTTCCACTAGTTTAGTACGTCAAAATCATCATCTTCTTCAAAATCAACATCATAAGTTAAATACAAAGAAATCTCATTAATTGTGCTTTGTTGTGTAACGAGAGTTGATTTCGTTTTTTTAATAAGATTGAAAAACGTAGATTTGAAAATTGATTTTCCTTTAGATGATGTTTGTGTCGGGGGAGGGGGCGCATTGCCATATTGTGCATGAAACTCATTGAATAATGCATAAAGTATATCACTAACCTCGTTGTATTCTTTTTTTGGATCAATTGGGTTGTCCTCATACATTGGCAATGGACCAAAAAAAGCAGCATAATAATAATTCAAACATTCTTCTAAAGAACCAAGTCTAAAATGAGGATCGAGAACAAATGCAATACCATAAATATGCGGAATATGTGAATAATATTTTAAAAACTTTTCCTTCATAAAACCAGCAAAATAACTCACATAATCAGCATTCTCAAAATTTGAAAAAACACCGGCGAGATTAACAGCTTCACGAATAAATAGGTTTGAGGTAGGTTTATAAACATGACTAAAAGTTTCAGTTGCATTATTAAAATATATCAAAGCATTACAAATTTTTTCACAGGTGTCGATCTCAGCCGAGTTTATAATATAGTTATCATATTGTTTCATAAAAGCAGGAAAATGTTGTTTATATCTAAGAAGAACTCCAATTAACTTATAGGTACTATTCCAACGAATAGACAAATCTTTTGGAAAAGCCACATATCTCTCACCCCTTTCTATCAAATAATCATGCCATTTTTTCCTAAGTTGTCCATTACCCAAATACGTCTAATCCCCTCCTTGACTACCTCCAACGATGCTCCCAACGCTTTTAGATCATCTTGCACACATAAATTTAGAACATGACATGCACATCGTTGATGAAAAAATCTACCCATCAAAGAAGTAGAACCACACAATTCACGCAATCTAGGAATAGCAGCAGTATTATTAGTAGCATTATCAAAACCAATAGCAAACACCTTATCAATTAAATTATACTCAATTAAAATACGTTCAATCAAAATATAAATATGTTCAGCGGTGTGACGATCATTAAATTCACGGAAAGCAAAAACATGTTTATGCATATGCCAATCATTATCAATATAATGTACAGTCAGACCCAAATAATGTAAATTATGATAAGTATCCTCCCATATGTCAGAACATACAGTAACACGTCCATCAAAGTTTGCAAAATAATTTTGTAACCTTACCTTTTCCGCACCATAAAGCCTTGAAATTTCTTTCTTAACCGTTTTGCGACTATAACCTCTATATTGCGGATTTAAACAAGTTTGTGCATAATCACGAAAAGCAAGACTTTCAGAAAACAAAGAAGGCAAATTTTCTTCAACAAGTAAGTTAGCCATACCTGTCAAATTTTGTGCATCATTGTATGAGAAATTACCAAAAGCTTGTTGGTTATTTGCAAACCTCGATATTTGCGTTTGCTTCCCCGTTCCGCCGCCTAATTTTGCATACTCCACCGGGTGTTTGGACTTAAGGTGTCTTGTGGCGGATCCGTATCCGCCGGAAATCCCCAAGCTATAGTTTTTCTTGCACCATTTGCAAGTTGCGGTCAAATTCCCGGTGTTCGGGTCCTTCCACTTAGAAAAATTATTAGCCATTAATTCAGATTTACTTTTTTTGTACCTGTTTGGGATGAGGCTGGTTGGTCGGCGTCATGGCTGCCGCCACCCTCCTCCTCCTCCTCGTCGTGGCTCTCCGGAATTGCTTCCTCCACATCGTCGTCCTCGTCCTCGAGCTCTTCTTCGTCAATGGTCCTCGGTTGGTCTTGAAAAAAGCGGGAATTATGTCGGTGCAATTCTTGTTCTAGTTGTTCGTCGGTCATCGCATCCTCATCCCTCCTTACGTAACCCGTATCAAAATTATCTCGACTTTGAGATGAAGAGCCGATATGCGATTTACCTTTGCGGGATCTCTTCCTCGCAAGCTCTTTCGTTCGGTTGCGCTCGAGGTTACCCATATCAACCAAATATCTAGGACGATCCATCTAAAAAATGTAGCGATTAATAAAAAATTGTAAAAAACTAATTAACTATTTATGTAACTATTAAATCGAGTTATAGCAAATTAAGTAGTGAATTAACTAGTTTTGTGTACAACATATTTTTTAAACTAGAGTCAAATGTAGCAATTATATAGTGTCTAGCTCCATGGTTTTAAAATTAGGATAGCACATTTACAAAAACTAAATCACACATTTATTGATGTATTTGGAGACTAATACAAGACTATAATATTTTTCATAGACATACATGTGATTAAAGTTTGTCGCTTAAATTTCCTGAAAACCCTTGCTTTGCTTATCATTTATTTTATTTTTATATTATAAACTTAACATCAATCGAATGAATGAGATTCTGTTTTAGTTTTGATCAATGGGAGTTGCGAAACTCCATTCATGTTGGCACACACGCCATGTCGCCATACATGGCTAACTATAAGAGTGAGAATCAAATGAATGGAGTACACTTGATAGTTGGCCTAAAGGTTGGATGTATTGGACCTTTGGTAAAAGTATTCAACATACAAATAAAGGGATCCATTTGGACTGGTTCAATATAAAATAACAATATACATTCGACAACACTTAGACGAGAGTCCACTGGAATAAGAAGCAATGTGCTATTTAAAACAAGTGTCATCACCTCCTCAAAAACAGTCCAACGCCAAGAGGGATAAGATAAATCCTGTTTAACATATGTTTTGTCTAGTTAAACATATGTTCACAAATTCTAAACTAATATTGTTGAAATTAAAGAAGAACAAAAAAAATTATGTTGTTGTAATTATATGGCATTCATGTGATAGCAAGTGTGATTATATGGCTTATCCAATGGATGCTATGTTCCGTTCAACAAGCAAGTAGGATAAGAATCACATGTTTGGTATTTAAAAAAATACTCCGTATGCAAGCTAATCATACTATATACAAACCACCGTGAGAAAATAGACAAGCTTCCTGCCTAAACATTTGGGTGAATTAGGTCCAATAAAGCAAGTATAGAAATAGGCATTCAGCGGAGGTTAAGGTACACTGATATATGATACCCGAAGAGGTTAAGACAGAATTCGGAAGTCCCAAACCCAGATTGCGGAGAGTCAAAGACGCGCACAGAGGGCCAGTCCGCCAAGCCGCCGATTCACCAATGGCATGACTGCCAGCCCTACCGCCTCCTGATCATGTCACCGTGCGGCTGTGCTGCGGGCCGCTCCACTTCCCTGCTCCAAAATCCTGCCACGTGCAACCTGACCATCTTTATTTCTCTGAGACGCTGACTCTCCCAGCCTCCAGCAGGCCAGCATTTCAGTAATATGTTGAATGATTTATTGATTTTAATAATTATAGTAATCATTTGTGAGAATGCATGTCATGAGTGAATTGCTTTTGTGATATCATTTGTGAATTGAAGATTACGGATTGTAAATTTCTTAACATAATATACCAACATATTAATATGATTCAATTGAAATTGGTATGGCTACAAAAACTTAATTGTGATAAAGTAAAAAGTAAATTTCTTAACAACATAAATTCTAAACATTTTACTTCTAAAAAGTAAAAACAACATTAATTATGCAAGTAAAGAAAACAAAGAATATAGCTTATAACTTAATTGACACCCCTAATATTTCTGATGGCATGAGTTAAGCATTGTTTGTAAGCTTTAATTTGTACGAATATATTATATATGTTAAATTGATGAATCTATGTGTAAATGTGTTGAGTTGTGAATTAATTATAGTTAGAATACTTTTTATTAGCAAACCCTAAAAATATATATTTGAATAATGCTTAATTTCTCGTGTTAGAAAAATACTACCCGTATAGGATGAATTAGTAAAATTTGTATATGTCTCAATTGCAAAACTGAATTGGTTGATTTTTTTTGAATAAAGTCAACGTTACACATAAATATATTTATTAAATTGTATTTAAAAAGATAAAAAAGATATGCCCAAAAACTCCTTCCGTCACATATCATGAATATTTTTGTAGTTTAAGATGATAGATTAATGACAATGTAAATGGATTCTAAGAAAATATACGGAGTACTATATATTATTATGGATAAAGTTAATATATTTAAAAAACTACGTTACAAGTTGCTAAATCACAAAAAAAACACTTAAATAAGTGTTACTTCCACATTTTGTCTTAAGCGGTGTGAATTGAAAACATTGATTTGCGGTGAATATTGAACAAATTGACCATATTATGAATGTGGGTAATAGGAAAGTGTTTTGAAATGTGTAGGGTGTGAAAACCTTATTATAATATTTATTCATTTCTTCTTATTCTAAAACAGACTTCATACCACTTATGGTTTGTAACT